AAAAAAATTAGAGAAAAACAACTTGTTTTTTAAAGAGAGAAACTCTCGAATATTGAGTTTTAGAGAGAAACTATCTCGAATTTCGAATTTTAGAGAGAGAATATATTAAAATTATATATATATACAAATTATATATAATTTTAGAGAGAGAAACTACCTAAAATAATTTAGAGATAGAAACTATCTCAAAATTTTTGGAGAAAGAAACTTTCACAATATTTATGTTTTAAAGAGAAAGTATCTTAAAATTTTAGGGATAAACTATTTACATAAAATTTTTAGAAAGAGAAACTTTCTTAAAAAAATTTAGAGAGAGAATCTATATCAAATTTTAAGTTTTAGAGAGAATCTCAAATTTTATACTTTAGAGAGAGAGTATCTCAAATTTTAAGCTTTAGAGAGAGAAAGTATATAAAATTTTAGAGAGACTATACTATTTACAAATTTTAAAGAGAGAAACTATATCAAGCTTAAAGTTTCAGAGAGAGAAAGCATTTTAAAATTTAAGAGAATAACTACATCAAATTTTAGAGAGAGAAAGTTCATAAAAAATTTAAAAAAAAGAAACTATCACAAAAATTTTAAAGAGAAATTATATCAAATTTTAGCTTTTAGAAAGAGAAAGTAGCTTAAAATTTGAGAGACAGACGATCATATTTTAGAGAGAGAAACTACTTAAAATTGTTTGGAGAGAAACAATATCAAAATTTTTGAAGAGGGGAACTATCTCAAGCTTTAGGTTTTAAAAAGAGTATATTAAAATGTTAGAAAGAGAAACTATATTAAAATTTAAAGAGAGTAAAGCATCTAAAAATTTTAGAGAGAGATTATCTTAAAATTTTTAGATAGGCAATTTTAAATTTTGGATAGAAAGTACATTAAAATTTAGAAAGAGAAACCATATCAAATTTTAGAGAGAGAAATTATCTCAAAATTTTTATAGATATACCATCCCAAATTTTGAGTTTTAGAGAAAGAAAGTATATAAAAATTTTAGAGAAAAAAGTTTTATCAAGTTTTGTTACCAAACAATGAACATGGAAGTGATTGCAAAGAATCTATGAATTTTATATAGTTTATCCAAACAAGAGATTGGAGGAATCCATGATAAAAATCCTTGATATTGAAAATCCATAGATTTCTTTAGATTTCAAATATCTAAGATTTCTAATTTCCTCCTATCCAAACGTGCCTTTATTGAATGCAGAGATATAAATTTTCAAATAATCATGTTACAAGAACACGTAAAACTCATAGCGTCTAAAATTCATAGACAGGAATACAAATTTTCAAATAACTGTTTTACAAAAAAATAAAGTCACGTACACAAAAAATTTACCGTATCTAAAATTCATAATTATAGATGGAAATATTACAATTAAATACAGAAGATACCAGTTTATATAACTATTTTACAAGAAAATGAGATCACTAACTTTTATATATCACAAGATGGGTATGTTGCAACTGTCGCCAGAGCAAGATTGGGATTAATGACATTCAATTAAAGGTATAGAAAAAGAGACCAAATAAGCTTATATGGGGAGAAGAAGCATAAAAATATGTTCCTATAAGAGAGAGAGAGAGAGAGAGAAATATTATATGCTTATGAGAGAGGGGGAACTGTTTTGAAGGGAGGAAGATATAATTGTTTTTATAAGATCATTATTAAGAGAATAATATATTGCTTTTATGGAATAATATTATTTTTATTGGATAATTGGAGTTAGGGATATAATAATCATATTAAAATATATAGTACGATAATATAAAAGACGAATTAAAATTGTATGGTATAGTCCAAATTTGGATTATTAATGTGTAACAGTGATATTACACATCATTTTTATCCATACTGAATAAGTGACAAATATATGAAATATCTAATATATAGGTGAGATATGTGAATACTATAATATAGATCGATGGGGACTATTATAGTAACCAATCCTCATTATATAAGTGATATAATATCCATATGACATTAATTATATGAATATGGTATCCAAATTTATAGGAATTTGGTGTGACAATACACTATATATATCGCACAAGTATATATATAACAAATTATATCATATGGATACCATATAGTCCGTTATCACATCACCAAGAATTTTATATACTAGTATAATATATTATAATACTAATATCATGAGGGAAAGAGAGAATGACATTTGTTGAAGAGAGAGAAAATATTAAATTTTATAAGAGTATTATTCTTATGAGAAGAAGAAAAAAATGAGGCAATCATTATGAAGATATCATTTTACTAATGTTATGAGAGAGCGAGAATGAAAAGCTAATGAGGTTATCATTATGAAGATATCATTTTACTACTATTATGAGAGAATGAAAAGCTAATGAAGCTATCATTATGAAGATATCATTTTACTAATATTACGAGAGAAAAAGAGAGAGAATGCAAGGCTAATGAGGCTATCATTATGAAGATATTATGAGAGAGAAAGAGAGAGAATGAAAGGCTTATATTTGAGAGGAAAGAGAAGATGAATTCTGATGGATATTATGAAAATAATCATGGAAGAGAGAAAAATAATTGTAAGCAAATCGTTTAAGAGAGAGAAGAGAAGCTTACCTTTGAGAGAGAGAAGACCCATTTATCATGAATTAATTATGGGTCAATGAGGGGTATTTATAAGTGAGAGGGCCACTCGTTATTTTACACATGTCAAACATGTGTCCTTTTTTCTCATTTATAAATATAACACCTCATGATACATCACCACCCTATAATGCCACCTCATAACACATTATCACCTCATAATGACACATTATCACCTCATAATGACACATCACTTAATATTAATTAAAATTAATGTCAAAAGGAAAATTTAGGGTGGTCCCATGGTCGTCTCATGGTGCATTCATATTACAATGAACTATCACTATTTTGGTGTTTTACATTATTTTTATTTATTGTTTTATTGTATTATTATTATTATTATTACTATTACTATTACTATTACTATTACTATTACTATTACTATTACTATTACTATTACTTACTCTTATTCTTACTCTTACTCTTACTCTTACTCTTACTCTTACTATTACTATTACTATTACTATTACTATTACTATTACTATTACTATTACTATTACTATTACTATTACTATTACTATTACTATTACTATTATTATTATTATTGCTATTTGTTGTTGTTGTTCAGTCCCAAAATTTAGGGCCATTACACTTTCAATATAAAATCAAATAGGACATTGTGTGTCTATAAATTTGACACTATGTAAATGTGCCACACGCCATGTTGGGATGGAAACTCAAACAAAACATACCAATAGCATGTCGATCATGTGTCTGGGTGTGTCAACACGTATCCATGTATTAACATGTGATACCAAAGATAAATGACAGTGATACTTGTTTCGGCAACCTAGACTCCCCAATTGGAGGTAAAATCGGGTTTTGAAAGGTTGTATTTCAATTTTGGATTTAAGGTATGGTTATATATGGAAATATTGGCTTTTGATTTATTTATTTTTCAAGTTTGGAATTTTTTTTTTTCACTTATGGCCTTTTGGGGTTTTTCAAAAAGCAAAAGAAAAAAAAAGAATACTTTAATACTTTTTACTTAAGTTCAATTAGGGGGTTTGGAAGAGAAGTGAGCATAGGCATCCCACGTGAAGTGAGCATACGCATCCCCAGTGTTTCAAAAAGCACTAGGCGGCACCTAGGCGGTCGGGGGGGTCCAGGCCACCCAGTGCCTAGGCGTGCACCCAGAACCTGGGCAGCCCAGTAGAATTTTTTTTTTTTGGGTTTTTCTCTCTCTAAAATAGGTTCTAATGGGTTTTAGGTTTCAAATGAACCTAAACCCCACAATTTGGCACCTTTAGTATTAAAAAATTGACCAACGAGGGGCATTTCCGCCCCTAGGCAGGGCGCAGGCCCTGGGCGGCCGCCTAGGCGGGTTCCCAGGCCCCTAGGCAAGCATCCAGGGATATCCGTTTTTTTTTTGGGCACCTAGGCCTGGGCGATGCTCCCAGGCCCTCAGAATCATCTAGGCGCTTGGCGATCCGCTTTTTAAAACACTACGCATCCCAGATTAATATGACATATCGTACATGTATTGTGTCAACTAATGGCATCAATTCAAGAAACCCCATCTTTTTTGTCTTTAACAAAACATTTAACAGTACATGAGCATCTGCAACAGTGAGATGGGGGCACTTTTTTAAGAGGTAATAGTCCTGGATTGCCATTACTTATTCACTTGAAGTGAACAGTATTTAAAGGTGAATGTCGTTAACTTTTTTCACCATCCACTTTCACAATTTTTCTGCCACTTTTTCTGGATCACATGAAAATCAGATTCTATGTTTCATTTGGTGACTTCTAAATGCTTGGAAGAGTAATAAGCAACCCTTATTCAGCTTCCCAACCCCCAAGCAGCAAAGACATAAAAGTTCCAAGGCTAAATTAAAAGGTAGACCTGCGTCATTCATTTTCTATCTAATAAAATTTCAGCATCCCTCGTATTACAGACCTGGGAACATGTGTTCCCTCAAGTTCTAGTATATGCATTCTGGTAACCACATGCAAAACTGCATGTTAAGAAACATCATATGGGTATACAAGATTTTGTATTAACCAATAATCAACATCAATAATAACTAAAACATGTTTACTTTATCAACCTCCCAGGCAGGATAGAATCATGTGCAACACAAATGCCATCTCCCCATTGAAGATGTGCATCATGCAAGTGCAAGCATAATATGGCAAGCTTAGGGACAAAACGATGAAATTATCACGAGATATGAAGCACCAAATTAAGATCTCAATAATTACTAGTGACCAACAGCTATCTGTGAACATGTTCAAGAACTGGACAATTTATATATTTATTTTTCTAGAGAATGAAGAGATCAACATTCTAACGACCCATACAACAAATCTATATAGAGAAAAATTACACTAGTACATGCAATTTAGTGAACATGAATACTGGAAATCAAACCTTAGGTAAATACTTTTCCTTTTGACTAGCATTCCCATTCCTCACCTACAATCATTTAGAAATTAAGATCAATACATAGCTAAAAGTACAAACACATGTGTTTGCAGCTAAATACGTACATATACCAAACGTCAAAGAATCAATCATTGAGTACCAGAGAGGAAATACCAATTGATTAATGCAAAGGTTCGAGTGTGCACCATAAGAGAGGCCAACAGATCCAGAAGCACGACTAATTTCTTCCATAGCTATGCAATGGTACAAGTAGCCAAGACCAAGCCCTCCATATTCCTCTGTATTTAAAAATGTTAATCAAAAAACATGGTACAATATGCTGCACACTCAACACAATTAACTACCAAACACAAACTGCATGGGAAACATTGATTTCCAAATGTTACACTCATCAAACACAAACTGTATAATACTCCACATTTGAGAAGACAACTACGCTGAGAATTTCACCAAGCAATTCTAGTTATGTTAGCCAATCTCAACCACAATTTACAATATCTTTAACTATCTTTTACTAAGAGTCATGCAAGTTATTTGATCTGGCTGAGTCTTACTAAGCCGACTTGGCTATGACTAGGTTGAAACCAGAACCAATTTCATGTTTCGCAACTATTATCTCAATACTAATGTCTTCATGCAAATTCCACATTTAAAGTTGTCGACACTCTCACAAATGTGAGATCAGAATAAATTGAATAAACAAAAAATATTGCATAAGGTGAAATGAAATGTTTATCGACAAGAGTTACGTTTCCTGGAAGTGGATTAGTTAAATGTAAAGTATTTACATATATAGGGATGGCAGAGGGTTAGGCCAGCCCTGGCCAGGGTCCTCAAAGTGCCAGGTCAGCCAAGGCCAGGCTGAGGCCGCCCAGGCCCTATCTAGGTGGGGTCGACCAGGCTAATAAACTTAGAGGAAAAAAAGAAGACAAATTAGCGAAACACAAGCCGGGTAGCCCAGGCTCGGCCCAGCCCTCGGCCATGGTGGCCCGCCCCTAGCACAGATGTGGCCTAGGGCCTAGTTATTCAGGGCCAGGCTAGGCCACCCAGCCCATTACTGGTCTTATCCATTTCAATCAACTAGAATTATGTGTAAAAAGGACAAAGTACATTTCCATCTGCAACATGAAGATCTCAATCGTAGGTAAGAAAGCTAGAAATGATAGAAATGGCACTATAAAATTTCAAACTAAATGCATGTTGAAAGGATCATGTTTCTAAATTCCACATGTAAATAAAATGTGAGGATAAAGTTGGAGCATAAAAGATCTCTTAACTTTTTCCCTATGATGTTCAATTAAAGGATGTGAAATATTCAAAAGTACTTTCTTACCCGTGTACTTTTCTAGGTAAATACTACCTGTGTATTATTTACTGGTTTTCCACGTGTACTTCATTGTAACATGTGTACTTCATTGCAATTATTTCCTACTTCATCTTATTCTATGTCCCAGGATACATCATATTTTGTATGCTCCTATGTATCGAATCAAGGGATATGAAACCCTAATGCTGTTTTCTCCAACTTGTAAAGGGATGTTCTCCTCTCATCCACCTTTCTCTATTTTATAATGATTATTTCAAACTTACATGGCAAGCGAAGGGAGTTTCCACCAAAAATAACATCCAGATTTGTGGTTTGTGGTGTGTATCATCATCCACCAGACCTGATAAATTTGTTGAACAGAAATGACGATCAAGAACTTAGATATCTCTCGGAGATATATCATCCTCCAAGCAGTCTGGAACTGTCCAGAATTTGGAATATCAGTATATATGGCGTGGTGATCCTTTTTTACTGATATATAGCATGGTGATCCTTTTTCTATTGTTTTCTTGGCTCACATGCGCACATGTACCACATGTGCGGCTTAGCCTGGTCGTAGTACAGCTAGCAATGAATACCAAATCAGGTTATATATCTGAAACATTTATGGACGAAAGAGTTTCCTGATTTGGGTCCTACCCTCCTCAAAATTCACATACCTCTCGTTCACATATGGAACTTCTATTTCCATGACCAGGTTAGGTAAATCTAGAGCTACATCAAGTTCACTTTTGAGGCGAATCTCGCAACTTATACAGATCTATCAGATTTTCTTCCAGCTGGATACATTTTTCAGGTTTTTTTAGCAATTTGAGAAAGATCTCTGAACCAATTTAATTATGCCATAGATCTGTGTCTAACATAAGTTATCTTATGTCAAATCAAGGTTGAATGATCCACACAATTGGAATCACCCGATCCAATATAAATGACTTGTGCTAAGGCAGCTTCCGATCTCAAGTTGCAAATGACTCTAAACCTCAATAGTATGAGTCATCTAGCACACATCCATCAACAGAAAAGTACTGGAGAAATGCTCCAGCTAGATGTGTTGTCCCAAATACATCATTTGCGATATGTTACCTATCAAAAAAAAAAAAAAGTTGGCATATAAACAATTCAACACTAGTGGGTTGCCATCTTGGTTCCATGGAGCACCATATTAGCAATGGACTCATTTTCGGCCAAGAGCAGAGTACTCTAGAATATCATGAATGAACCATTTTTCTTACATTGGCTGAAGGCTTGAGATTTTCCAGGATCAACTCATTGGACCCTGACAGGAGAGGGGAACACCCTCAATTATCTAGTGCCCTCACTCATGTGGTGGGTGTCAGGATGGTCTACATAGCCTGGAAGCCTAACCACCTGTAGGAAGACTCCAAACACATTCTCAGTTCTACATGGCTACTTACACAAGAAATAAAGGAAACAAAACGCTCGAAGCTGGGAGCTACCATCAATTGCCTTTCAGTCTAGAATTTAACTCGGAAAAGGATAGTACAAAAACAAGTACGGAAAGCTTAGGTCAGACAACCAAACATCTCACTAGAGAGAAACCTCAAAGTATCTCACATGTCAACGCATGCATGCATGCATACCAGCATGCATACATACATATGAAATGTTTGTCGCACATATCTAATGCACATTCGTGCTGTATTAACTGTTTGACAAAACAAAACAGATTTAATTATCATCACATGATGCCCTTAAAACATCAAAGGGGTACATTCTAATTTGAGAACTGATCCAACCCCAACATGAAAGTATTGAAATTAAAGCAATGTTAAGTGAAACACAAGAATCTAACCAACAAAGCAGTCATGAGATTCACAAGTGCTAAGCCATCACCAAGTTTGTTTTAAGGCGGAGAATTATCCTCCTGATGTCATGTCTCCTCTAACCAGTGTTCCTCCAGTTTGTCGCATAGTATTCTGTTTCTTTTATTTTCTAGAAAGCCACTTCTCGAAACTTCCACATGGGGGACTTAGAAGAGGCTTCTCATTCTAAAATATGGGTTCCCCTCTCATTCTAAAATATGGGTTCGCCTCACCAAACTCCACTTGATTGAAAGGGGCCCTTATGGACTACACCATTCACCTAGGGCCTACACTATCATGGCTGAAATTTCCTTCTTTTTATTGTGGATGGGGCGTAAATAGGCTAAAATTTCCTTCTTTTTGCTAAAACGTCATTTCTAATTTTGCCATGTTCCTATTTTCATTTTCCCTAAAGACAAGGGGCTTTGCACATCTTAAGAGGGGCAGCACTAGGACTCTATTGCTTGCAGCTTTAACCCAAATACTAGGACTACATAAGCTTTTAGGAGAGGATATTGTGCCATACACAAAGCTCTTTGGAGCTCTCTTGTGCCATACACAAAGCTCTTTGGAGCTCTCTCTAAGACCTCTCTCTCATGACATCCGAGTGGGAAGAGAACTAGGTTTGTGCCTCACACTATGGAAGGTTTGCAGCTGTCATTAGGTGATACTAGTGAAACTTTTCTCTTGATATTTCCTTTATTTTTTTCTTTAGTTTCTCACTTAAGTGCATTCAGTTGTCTACTGCAAGGGTGTGGGTTTGCAGTAGGACACTCTTTTTCTCTCAGAGCAATCCGCCATTGTGATGCGTCTACTATTGCCCGAATCAGTGAATTTTCTTTTTTTCGGTTATCAATTTTTAGTTGTTATGTATATAAGATATAAATGTAATTAGCATCACAAAATTGAGACAAATACTCAAATCACAATAAGAAATACAAATAGAGAGTTACAAAATGACTAACATTCCACTCTTATTGGGGGGGGGGAGCGGTTTGAAAACTAGGTTGGACCTCAACTCCCCTTCAAAGGCAGGAGCATTGTTCGAAATTTTGGCCACCTCACCCCCTAGGCAGTCAAGAATGGCCACCAAAGCAAAGAGGCCTAGGCGGACGCCCCAGCGGGAAATTTACCTCGCCAGCCACTTAGACACGTAAGGGTCTGCTTACGCTAGGCACTAGGCGAATGCCATCTTCTTCATATCTTCCTCTTCTTCTTTTTCATAGTTTTATTTATTTTATTTACTTGCTATCTTCACTTGGACTTTAGGACATCCCTCTCAAATAAAGAAAGCTTTGAAACTTTACTGCTTACGCTTATTTGTGGGAAATTGTGAGAGAGAGAGTGCTTGCGTACTGACGAAAACTGAGATGACGTTCGCGCAAATAACTAAATGTATGGTTTATTTTTAATCATTCTTCATTCATCAGTGCTTCAACATAGCCAAAATATAAAAAAACAACAAAAAGCAATGTCTACTTGGTAGATATTTCGTGAGGGGAATTGATTAATGTACAACTCGGCCAAAAATATATATAAATAATGTAAAGGTGGAGATATTGGAGAGAGGGATGGGATGTTCCTAACGAAGGAAGGAGAAGACTTGTGAGTAAAGATTTCAGTCTCCTGCATAATACAAGTGTATGGTCTATCTTTAAACACCAATAGAGTAATGCGAAGGTGTCAATCTTTTATATAAGTGAACACCGTTTACAAAGCTATTATTTATACGGTTTTGTTTTGCAAAAAGACTAATACACTCCCCCATCTTAAGTGAAATGGCATCCATGATAAAAGTCCCTCACACACCATCTTAAATAAAACGCCATCCATAATGACACCCCCATTCTTTTTTTCTTCTTCTGGCCACTACCCTGACCCCAAAAAAAAAAAATCCAACAATGGGGCGCCTCTCAGTAACAAGGTGGCTGGCCAGCTGACTAGGACCCTGGCTACCTAGGAGGATGAAAGGTAGCTACATAAATTTCAAGGTAATAAATTCAAAAACTTATTTCTTTTCTTTTATTAATTGCTGGAAATTCTACTTACAAGTTCAACAAATACAATAAATCCAGCCTACTACAATCTGGGGGATCGCTCTGAAATGTGGATATGTTAAGAAAAGGAA